AACAGCGTTGGTAACCCCGGGCTGTTTTCGGCGCAGCCCAGCAGAGCTCACCCAGAGCCAAGGCCTTTTCTGCTCCTCCCGCCGCCCCACCAGCGAGTGGGCTGGGGGGGCACAAGGAGCTGGGAGGGGACACGGCTGGGACAGCTGAGCCCAACTGACCCCAGGGACATCCCACCCCACAGGGCGTCCTGCTCAGCGTGTAACGCTGGGGGAAGGAGGAGGAAGGGGGGACACTGGGAGCGCTGGCGTTTCCCTGCCCAAGTCACCGTTAGGTGTGAGGGAGCCCGGCTGTCCTGGGGATGGCTGAGCCCCGGCCTGCCCCTGGGGAGTGGGGAGGGAAGCCTGCTTGGGCTTGCCTTGTGCACACGGACTTTGCTTTGCCTCTTAAACTCTCTTGATCCCAACCCACAAGTTTCTCACTTTTATTCTTCCAATTCTCTCTTGCAACTCACTGAGGGAAGAGCAACTAGGTGGTGCTTAGTTGCTGGCTGGGGTTAAACCACAACAGATTGATAAAGAGATACCTGAAGAGAAAGACTGGGACATATAGCTGGTGCAACTATAGAACATAAATCAATGCACTGGTCAAAAATAAGCCCAAACAGTTGAAAATGAGAGTATAGGGCAGAATTCCTTCTGGTAAATAAGACTTAAGTCTGCACCATGTGAAAATAATGCTAGTATAGTGCAGAAGTAAAATACCAGAATTGTGTGGATCACTTTAAAAATGGCTTTATCACAGACAGAGGACATAGAGAGTGTGGCCAAAGTGCTAGTTTAAGGAACACATTTTCCTCTGCCAATCACTCCTGCCTTTGTGAGCAAGTAGGACTGCTCCTTCAAGATGTGCTGATGCATGCTGTTGGTAGGGCCATGTGAACCATGATATTCCTAAATAACCTTTATTTTAGATTATTATGTTGGATACATTGGGATATCAAGCTCCTGACACTGCCCTTGGACAAGAAGCATTAGAAAAATGGAAGACCCTGATGTGTGGTGCTGTGAGAGAAGCTCTTTTACCAGGTAATGCTGCTAAAACCCTGGTATCGTGAGATCGCCTCTTCAAACAGAGAAGGTCTTCTGGCCAGTCACTAACTGGATTTGAAAACACTGCCTCTCCCCACAGCTGCTGGGCTGGCTCAAACATCTCCTTAATCCCCTCACCTGACTTCCATCCCAGTCCTCCTTATCACACCACTGTGCAAGCACAAGGAATAAATGGGGCTGCACAGAGAACCAACCAGGAAAGCAGTAAAGTAACCCAGAAAAGATAAATAAGATTAAAATTAAAAGGAGCAGAGGGGATAATTATAGCTGGATCAGAGCTTTAACTTGTTCTCAGCATGACAAACAAATAAATGAGGACAACATACTAGCAGTGCACAAGCAGTAAACACCTCAAGCCTGTAACTGCAGTTGAGGACTTTATCAAGAGAAAACACTTCATATATTCCAGCATTAAATGTATTTTTAAATCAACTGAATAAACATACCTCATAAAAGATGCATGCAGATATTCACTGCTGGATGTTGAGTGCAATCAGACAACACTGGGTAAATACCCCCGTTAGAAGTAACTGACCTGCTCCCTTTCTCCCTTATCCTTCTCACACCTATTTCTGAGGGATATACCAATACTCAACATCACTCCATCTGCTACACAGTGATAAAACAGAATTGATCTGCTCCTCTTCAGTCTTACCTAATCCAGCTGTGAGCTGTCCTGAACTGATGTAAATGCATCTATTTATATCAAACAGAACACGCGATGTAAGCCGTGGAGTTCCTCTTCCTCTGTAGCAAGAACACCTTTCCTTAAACGAACAGAGGAAAACATCTTCTGTGTCGTCTTTTTTTTTTTTTTTCCCTCTCTTCCTCTGTTCAGATTTTGAAGGTTTTTTTTATAAATCACAACTGTCAGGATTGTAAGACTCTTTCCAGATTTATTTCAGCTTCCACAAGTGATAAACCTAACTCTTCCACCTTCTCTTAATAATCACACCATAAAAGATCCGCTTCAGATAGACTGTGTGCATGCTTTCCCTTATGTCCAGCAGCACAATACAGGGAATCCAAGGCTGCTCACCGACTTAAGCTTATTTCAGTCAAATGACTTCTCCCCCTGGTTATTTTTAAACATTGGAAAACCACAGCTATTCTTAGGGGATCATTTCCTTTGCATTATAGGCAAATTTTGGCACCCAGGTTTTGTGCGGGTTTGTCTTTTTTCCTGGCTGCAGTATTTGTCACCAATTTAAATGCTGAGGTACCCCTGGTTAGGCTCAAGGGCTCCACAATGAGAATAAATCACCATTTTGCCTAAGTGTGCTCTTGAAATTCTTTCAGTTCTTCTTTGACAGCTTTTGTTAGCAGCATCTTCTCTAGCAAGATGAGGTGGTTTTTTTTAACTTCAGCATGGTTTTTTATTCTGGAGCATCACTCTGTACACAGAGCTAAGGCTACAGGTATAAAGCACAATGCTTCTTACAAGACAGTTTTATACTGCCACACACGAAAGGTGTCTCAGGAAATCTTCTATAATCCTCATATTCACACCAAAACTGGAGCAGGTCTGTTCTATGAAACTGTAGCAGTTTTAGATCTGTTGTGCTTGAAGGCAAACATGAAGGATTTGCATATTGAGATGAGACCTTGTCTTCACAACTGAGAAGCATATAGTGCCACATGTATATGGTAAAACAAAGTTTTTATTTTGGTTGGGACAAAAGTTTATGAATACATCTTCATCATAGTATAAACTTTAAGAGGCAGCATGTCTTACCAGTACATACAGCTTATTGGATACTTTTTTAAGGCCGCATGTGATAAGCTGTTATTATCCAGTTTATGTACTCAGAATACTAAATACCCCAGAGCTGATCTGTCAGATTGAATTATTCTAGATCAGCTGAAAGATGTCAAACAAACTCTTCCTAGTCACCTTCAATGCTCAAGCTCAGTCAATCTAAGAGAAAAAGAGAGACTGAGAAACACATATATGCCTGAGTTTTTCCAGTTCCATAGATGTACACACACTTTTTTGTCTTCACACTGTGTTTGAGAACACATCTGCACTTTGGAAAGTACTATCTATTTTTAAAGACCAGCAGCACAAGTCAACTGTAAGGAAAATAAAAAGGAGTACCTACGTTCTTTAAAAGCAGATGTTCAAAGTTAAGACCCTGTGAGAGGAAGATGCACAAGCCATACTGCCACTGCTACGCATCCCAGGCACCAGAGCAGAGTTTACGCATGTGACCAGACACAGAGCAGGCAACACAGTTCACTGAGCTCTCTGAGCCCAAACCGAACCCCCAGCCTCCCCTAAAAACACTGAGAACTCTTATATCTAAACTAACCAAGTCCCTCCATCTGTGAAATGGGAGTAAGTGTACAAGTTTCAGGCAGTAGTGATATAGGTAGGCTGTAATACCAAGCTCCGTGAGGACACTGAATAGCAGAAGAGAACAGGGGCCAATACTTCTTCCTTTAGCGTAGGACCTGCGAAGGGGCTTGCCATTGACAGACAATCCAGCAATTTTCAGAACATAACCTTCAGAATCTTTCTGTAGAGGATTAATCACGTATCCAGTTTATTTCAAATATTGAAGACTACGGAGTTCCCTTTAGATTTCATATTCAATGGGTTCTCTACAACATTAAAAAAACCCCACAGACAGACAAAAACAAACCCCCCAAAACTACACACCGCCTCGAGGAACTTCCAAAAATGCCACTGAAAACTCACTGAATAGTAAATAAACTTAACTACACTACTCTTTTTCCTCAACCTGTCCAGGAAAAGCATACAGTCACCACCCTTTGAAATCAAAACTTAGGGTTTTCTATCCGCTTCAGATGACTGTAAAAAGCTAAGGAATATTAACATCAAGAGACTGAAGTTCCCATTTACTAAAGCAAAAGTGGAAACAAAACCAACAAAACCCCAAAAGCCTTATAGTTCTGGTTTGGGTGCAACCTGAAGTGTTAGACCTAGATTTTGGAAGTAAATGAGAGCAGGGAAGGGTGTAGACCTCTGAAAGAAAAGTAAATTCATTTTGGCCACCCACATCGGCAGTGATGCTGAGCGCGACACAGCTGTTAACTTATCTGCTGTCCCAAAGTCACGGCAGGTAAAAAACTCAGATATTGTAACACTACGTTCCTAAACCTCAATTTCTCAATACCTTCTCCGCGTTCTCAGGCTGTCCCTATAACTTAAGGCAGTAAGAACAAGTGGCAGGAAGGATAATTACAAAAATAACAGCATTGCTACTCAGAGCACCATAAACATATGCAGAATTAGTGCTATAAAATTACTTTTATCCTTAACCAGGGAGCATGTAATCCACAACGGTCAGACTTGGTGTTTTTTCCCCCCTCCCCGTGCCCGTATTATTTCACGCATATGGTTTCACCCCCCACTGCTCGCCGGTACACGATCCGACTCCTTCCCCTCCTGCAACCCCACACCCACGGCAACAAGTACGAGGCGGCACTGCCACAGAATCCGCGAGAGGGGAAGGAAAAAACGGAAAGTAAGGAAGGGCGGCGTTTCCCGTCGGCGGTTACAAAACGGCGAGGCGGCGCGTATCGCCCCGCGACCGGCCGAGCCCCCGCGGCGGTTCCCCCGCCGGGGCCGGTCACACCGGCAGCCGAGCGCTGGAGCTCCGGGGCGAGATCCCGGCCCCCCGCCTCGGGGGGGAGATCCCGATCCTGGCCCCGGCCCCCCGCCTCAGGGGAGGGATCCCGGCCCCGGCCCCCCGCCTCAGGGGGGGGATCCCGATCCCGGCCCCCCGCCTCAGGGGAGGGACCCCGATCCCGGCCCCCCGCCTCAGGGGAGGGACCCCGATCCCGGGCCCCCGCCTCAGGGGAGGGACCCCGATCCCGGCCCCCCGCCTCAGGGGGGAGATCCCGATCCCGGCCCCCCGCCTCAGGGGGGGGACCCCGATCCCGGCCCCCCGCCTCAGGGGGGGGATCCCGATCCCGGCCCCCACCTGCACGTCGGGGAAGGCGCCCTTCAGCAGGTAGAACATCCTGCGGTTGGAGAGGAGGTCGCCGCTCGTCAGCTGCTCCTCGGCCCCCTCCCGCGTCTTCCCCTTCGCCTTGGCGTTGAGGACGTTGCCCTCACGGACCCGCTTCACCTCCTCCCCGCCCCTGACGGCGGCCAGGACGGACACGGCCAGCAGCTCCCGCAGGTCCACGGCGCCGGCGGGCGCGGAGCCGCGGGGGGTCTCGGCCCCGCCGGCCGCCGGCTCGCTCAGCATGAAGAAGGCGAAGCGGCCGGCCAGAAAGCCGGAGTAGAGGTGGTAGAGGACGCCCAGCCCCAGCAGGCAGAACACGGCCATGCCGAGCGGCGAGAGGCGGATCCCCATGGGGGCCATGGCGGCGGGGCGGGCGGCGGCACCGGGCGCTCACCACAGCCCCATGGCGCGGCCGGGGCGCTCCGCTCCCTCTGCGGCGGCGGGGCCGGCCCCGCTCCACGTTCCCCCGTGGGCCGGCGGGGAGGCAGCGCCGTCTGTATCCGGGTCAGGCGGAGGCGGGGCCCGCCGCTCGCACTGAGCATGTCCCGCCCCCCCCCCCCCCCCCCCCGGTACGGGCTTGGCGTGTCCCCCCGCTCCCCGCGGCGGGCAGGCACGGTGCTTCACCTGCTGGCCCTCCCCAAATGCCTGGTCGGGGGTGGGTTTCGGTTGTTTTTTGTTTGTTTGTTTTTGTGTGGTTTTTTTTTTTTTTTGTCTTTTTTTTTTTTTTTTTTTTGATTCATCATCTTCCTCAAGGCGCAGGGGCCGATGGAGCTGCCTGTCCCTGGCAGCGCGGCCGCCCGGCTGGGAATGGAGTTTTCTGTTGGAAATGTTTGCAGAAATCGCAGCTCAGTTTCTGAAGACTTGGTGTTAACTGTTCAGAGCAGCAGCGCTGAGCACCATCTCTTTTTTTTTTTTTTTTTTTTTTATCGCATACTGCTTAGGGAGCTTTGGGACTCGCGTGCTGCAGGAAAGGGGCTTGAAGTTAATCATTCCTGTCATTCAGTAAAATGAAGCAAATCTGACTGTTTTCTCAGCCAAGTGATGTGCTAAAGGCCTACCTGTCTCAATTAATACTTTTCCTTTGCACTTCAGTTGGTCTGGGGGAGTGTGAAACTGCATGTTTGACTGGGGTGGTATCTAGGGTGGCAGCCAGGAAGAGACTGATTTTTTTTTGTTGTTCTGTTTTTTTCCTAATTCTTTCTAGTAGTTTTGAGTAAGTTATATCAGAAACAATTCAACATTGTTTTAATTATTTACATGTTTTTTTACTCAAGCAATATTCTTGTCTGTTGATATGCAGGGTATAAAAACAGACCTTGATAGTGACTCTGGGAAGAAATAATTACTAGGGATCATGCAGTATAACTTTTCCTGGGATCTTGTGGTTTGTTTTTTTTTGTCGTTTTTGTTTTGTTTTGTGTTTTTTAAGTGTTAAACTTGTGTGATCAAAGTGAAAACAAGGAAAGACCCAAATTAAGATTGGCTTTGCAAATTGAAGTTGTCATATCATCTCTGTATTTCCATTTTAATGGCATCTTCAATTACATGCTGACGTACCAAGCGTCCTGCAGGATCACACCCTCTCTGAAGCGTACGTGTCTATACAGGGTCTGAAAATGAAAGAAGGGACGGTAGGAAGAGATAGCATTCCACTTGAAATGGGATTCAAAAGAATTGGATTTTACTCTTAGCTATGCTGGGATTTAACTTTATATGCTATTAGGTAACAATTGGAATGCCCACATTTTACAGCTTCCCATTCTTTTTAAGGTACAAGGTTTTTTTCTATGCGGTTGCTTCTCTGGCAGAAAAGGGTCTTGAAAGCATACACTGATCACTTCCTTAATATGGATTTCATGATTCAGCATTTCATATAGTAATAATTAATGGTAAGAAGCTATGCAGCAACACAGGGTTGATGTTGGACAGAGTAAACTTGTGTCTGTAATGAGCAGTGAATGCAAGACTAACAACTAGGTGTGCTTGTAATGTGCCCTTTTTTAAAAAGTACTGGGCAAAGTAATCAACAGCTGTGCTGCCTGTTGCTATCAGTAACAGTTTTTGTGTGTTCAGTAAACAGGAGTTTTAAACTACTGGTGGAGGAAACTCGGAATAAAACCTACAACTTTCTGAACTGGTTTCTTTCTTAATGAAAAGAAAGTAAAATACTTGGCTTTTTGTCCCACTGAAGTTTGCAAAGACCTTACAGAGGCATAGTAAAATGATGGATTTATTTCTTGCTAACGTTTCTATTCCTGCGGCAAATATAGATAGTAAATATTAACAGTAACGTAAACTGTGAAGAGGACAGCACACAGAGGGCTCTCTATTTCAGTGATACTGTATGTACCATCTGTGCCAGGTTTCAGAATAAACAGTATTTGTTACTGAATGCAGTCACATAGCCAATAGACAATATGCTGGCATCTGTAACAATCTTATTCTGTAAAGACCAATATAATTTTTAAAGATCACAGTCTGGCATCTCCCATGCTGTTTTCCCAAGATCCCTAGATTGAGTTCCTCGGGTTTATCCAGGGTGCTGTTGACTTCAGCTGGACTCCAGGACACGGCAGAGATCTTTGCAAAGTGGCAAAAGGGAGTAGAGGCAAGCTTTCCTTTATGGCTTCAACCTGTAAGATGGGTTTCCAGAGACCATGATGTAGGCAAAAAATTAAATAAACTTGGAAAAAAAACCAAAAAGTTGTCTCCATTCTTAGCAAAAGGAGATTTATCCCTTTACATGAGGGGTGTGGTAAAAATCTACTGGAAATGTTCCTTTTGAAAATAGGAAATTATTCTTTTGGACACTTTAATTGTGGGCCCAATAATTTGATATACTTGGAAAAAAAATTTTTTTTTTTGCTTCAATCAAACCACGTTTTTAAACTTTTGTGTTTTTGACAGGAAAAATACATCCATCTCTAATACTGAAGTGATCCTTCACTGAGTGAAAAAAGGATGCACCAACCTGGATTGAAGCTGAGGATGCAAATCTGATGTTACGTACATCCCTATTGCATCTGTGGCAGCTGCCATCTTAGGAGTCAGCTTTACGTGATGGCAGCCCTGACCTTGAGGACCCAAACAACAGGCTGATGTGCTGAAAGTCACAGAAACCGTCGCTGTGGAAGAGCTTGGTAGGACTTCTCAAACGGGTTGCAGTGTGCTGGGAGTGAAACGTGTTGCTTTCTGTTAGGTTTATCTCGCAGAGGCTGCGCCTGGCAGAGAGGCGATGCGATATTGCAGTCTGACTGTCCGAGCTTATCGAGAGCGATGCTTGCCCTCTTCCCTGCAACTTTCACGAGACAGGGGGGTGGTGAGGTCAGCAGAAGGGTTGTACTTGGAGTTTGGGAGGTTGACTAATGAAGTGGCCACTTGCTGGTAGGGAAAAGGCATTAACAGAGATGTCTTGAGCACGGGGTGGGGATCCCTGGGGAGCACAGTGAGGAAGGCTGTGTGGGTACCGGTGAGCTCTGACCATTGCCAGGGAAGCCTGTGCTGGAGAGGAGGGGGCCGTGCCCGTACACAAAGCCCCTGTTTGTGCTGTGGCTGTGTGGGGAGCATGCCGAAACACAGGGAGTCGAGTGACTCTGACTCGTAGAGTCTTGTGGCAAGAATGTATAAACTAGTGACGTCCCATCCTTGCTCAGGCTAGCAGTTTTTTCTCAACAGTGCTTTACAGTGTAATATATCACTGTAGCTGCTTTGCCAGCGTCAGTGCTGACTCGTGTGGAAAATCAGGCGATGCCCGCATCTTCCATAGCTCCAGCCATGCGAGCAGGTTAACAGGGTCTGTCGGCAGCAACAGAAGTGCTGTGTTGCTGGTTGTTTCTCTGTGACTCCTGCCTAACCCCGATGGTTCATGAAACCACTCCCTGGGCAACCTCCCCGAGCATTTGGTTTTTGTGTCTGCAGCTGCAGTGTGTCTGTGGAAAAGACGGGGAGTCCCTCAGGGTCAGAGCCGAGTTTGATCTGCAGCACATGAAAAACATGAGCCATGTCTGTGCTTCTGAGTGACCAAGAAAGAGCAGATGGCTGTTGGATGGGACCAGAGTACCCAAGGGGAACCTGATGTGGAAGTGCAGGCATCAGCTGCAGCCACTTCACTTGCCTGTCAGTGCTGGGAAGGCAGTCCCCGAGGGAGGCCCGTACTTACTATTGAGCATAAAGTCTTTTGTAGTGCAGGGTAGCTTTCCCTTGCATAGAGAATTTGACTGGTGCAGTGTGTATGTGTGTGGAGAGCTATGAATAGTTGTTGTTGGGTTTATACAATTGGGTTCTTCCTTCTTTCACTCCTTTTATTTCCTGTTCTTGTCTGGTAATTTTGCTTGTAGCATCACCTCACCCAATCTTGTTTTCAGCAGCAGTCCCAGTTGTAGCTGGCTTGCTCTTATACCCTGGCTGGCTCTGCAGGGCTGAGAGCCTCAGGAGGGTTGTGCAGAGACATATTGAACTTGAGGATATTTTTAAAGGGCTTTATTTAAATTAGTATGTAACGTAAAAGCAGAATACTACCAAATGTGTGAAGCATGAAGGTGGACTAAACAGGGCAAAGAAAATTGATGAATGTCTCTATTTTAGAGTGTATCCCAAACAGGGGTGGGGTAATGTTTCTACCATGCTTTTAACTGCCCATTCAACCAGAGCATGAAGTGAGCACTCAGAGGTTTGCATTGGAGGCATGTAAAGCTCCCACTGCAGAGGCTGCAGGTATAGTGTAGAAGATGACAATGAGGTAGTAAGAGATGTGCAGGACTCCATGGCTGCTGCAGGGCCTTGATTAGATGACTTCTGGTATCTCTTCACCTTCCTGGACCAACTTTATTTGTAAGGAACAAAAATTGTGTACTCACCACATGGCTTCCATAGAACAGCCCACCACTGGTAAAAGCATGAAAATCCACTTCCCCATTTCTTCTCTGCACTACAGCAGTGTCTTCCCTGCCCTCACACTGCTGTGGATTCACCATCTGAAGTAATATGCATTCTTGGGACAATTTTGGAAATCACTTGAGAGAGACAGACTACGTGAATTCTTGCTCAGTTTTGTCTGGCGTGGTCTCCTGTGGAACAGACAAGCTATACCTTTACCTCTGAGGGCACCAGAGCTCAGTTTTTCATAGCTGGCAACAGAATGTCAACTAGTTGGACCCATGCCAAAGCGTATGTGGTACAGGCTAAATGGGCCAGTCGTTAAAAGCATGGGACCAGCTGCAGGATGTGTCCGGAGCATGGTGAAAACAACAGGCCTGAGCACTGCTGGAGAGGTGAAGCATCGTGGTGGTTGTGTTAGATCACTGCGTTGGTTAAATGCCTAAGGCCTGGCTGCATCTCCAGAAGGGAAGAAGGGAAATAACTATGTTAGGAAAGGTTCCACAGGGTGAATTTCTTACCCGGTGTTGAATCTGGATCTGTCCTGAGGTCCTGTAGGAACTGAAGCGTCCCTAGGTACCTGTAGCCCAGCTTCTGTCAAAGGTTTCTTGCCCACAGCAATGTGCTCCTTGGCTATGGATGCTTCCTTTTCTTTAGTGGCGAAGAAATGGATCCAAATCCAGATGTGGGAAGGAGCCCTAATCTGCAGTGCATGTGGGAATTATGTCTGTATTCCTCACCAGGATAGGATCCAGCTCCTGGAGCTTGCAGCAGGTCTCACTGCCAGTACTAGAGCTGTCATGGATATTCATGGTCCCTGGGTATGTGCTGTTCAGAGCCTGTCTCCTGCATTGCTCCAGGTTTGCTTAGCGCCGATACTGCGATGTTCAGCCAGCAGTGATGCAGCAAAGCTCCTCGCTGTCCGATTGCCAGGAGACATTGCTTTGCCCTCCTGCCCGCTCGTTCCCATGAGCATCTCAGTGCACTGAACTGCATCCAGGGAATGCTGCTTACGGCGAGTCTGGCTCTGTACTGGGGCTTGGTTCTGGCTTAGTGGCGATGCCAAGATTATTAAATACAATACCCGTGATTCAGGAAAAGGCCTAAGGGAAAGAAGAGGTGCCTGGTCCAAGAGAGGGCATCGAAGGCAAAAGATAGATGTAAAGAGTGACAGAGAGAGAGAGCTGGCTATGGTGAGGCTCCAGAAAGAAGGAGTACAGTCCAAGTCTGCATTTACAGAAGAGCAGCTGCAGCCAGGTGCTGCGAGCTCAGGAGTCGAGGAGTGGGAAAGGAATGAGAAGGGGCCTGAAAGGAACTGTGGGTGGTCTGGGGAATTCCGATAGAGGCACCTGCTGCTTGATCTGATACAAAACTGGACTGCAAAAAATGTTTGGAACAGATTTTAACAGACATGGTGCTTATGAATCACATCAGCACTTACCTGTCTGCAAATTTTTGATATGCTCCTTCAAGACGTTGTATCATTTTATGGGTACAGTCAAACCTGGCTTAGGATAAGAGGAAAGGGTAGAATTTTACTAACCTTGTTGAGTCACAAATTTGTTAATAGGCCGGTTAGGTACAGAGCTTAGCAGCTATTCTGAAAAAAAAAAAAAAAAAAAAAAAAAAATTATTGTATCTCCAAGGAAATGAAAAAGTCTTTAAGAAGTCAAGTGTGGAAATATCATCTGAATAAGTAAGAAATTAAGAAGTTTAGAAGGGAAAGGGCTGAATTTTTATGGAAACCCTAGAGGATTAGAGGGGGGAGCTGAACTGTAAAAATTATGTGATACATAAAAAGAGGCTCTGTAGATACAGCCTAAGCTGTACGGTATGCAGAAGACTGCAACCACAGGAAATATGAGGAGGGAGATTTTTTTTATATTTGATCTTGGTGCAAAAAGCTTAAGCACTTGTAGCTTGTCGGTTTTGGATGCTGTACAGAGAAATCCTTTTGTTTGGATTGTAAACAGCTTGAGAATTAAATGTGATTTCACTGGTAGCTGAACTCCAAGGCTGTGGAGAATCTGAACCACAGTGCACTAACATTTCAGCTTAGGAAATGCCCAGCACTCCAGCACAGGCAAAGTGCCTTGAAGCTGTACAGAACAGTCAGAAAGAGTGTTGCAAAAATCAGGAAAAGAAGAAGAATCTGCTGGTGACAGTAAGGAGACACTGCAATGATGATAAAACAGTGGGGAGGACACTGCACTTCAGGAACATGAAGGAAGTTTGTGGCAGCTGTCAAGCACAACCTACACTTGGATCAAATAAATTACTTAGTTTAGCATGGAGTAAAGTTGAGGGGTCCAAGATAAAGAGATATTATTAAGTGGCCTGATAGTAATTTCTGGTCTTAAATGCAAAATCTTCAAGTCTGTAAAGTGAGTAAAAATGCTATCAAGTTAGAACAGCATTTACATATGAATTGGAAATATCTATTAGAGTGAAATACCCATTCAGTTTATAAAGGAATAGATGACTATATAAGTACAAGGCAGTGAAATACTGCTTTTCACAGCTTTGTGGAGAGTCTTCCCTAAAAGTCTATTTTGTATCACCCGAGAGGTTTAATTGCTTATGGATTCTAACAGAGTCTTCCAGAAAGAATTGTGGTGGCAGAACTCTTCAGCTAGGCAGAACTTCATTTTAACACCGTGCTGGTTTACAGAAGCACCTCTCAGAGCTATCATGTTTACTCACAGATTTTCTGTCCACCCAAAACAAGACAGTATATCCTCTTGCTTCCAGCACTGCAGAAAGCCTCAGAAATGTCACTGAATGCTATCAGTTGCTCAGTAGTTCAGTGGCAATCACAGCTGAAGGTGTTTTTTGCTCCTCAGTTTCCACCCACGACTGCTCATTTCTGGCCCCACACTCTTCTTCCCCCCAGTTGTACCAGCACAGATATTCACGGAGCTCTCCTGCAAACTGAGCTGGTGAACTGAGCCAAAGTTAAAGCAGTTCTAAGTCCCGGTGTGGTGCTGCCCACCTGAGCTCTTTAACTTGGTGCAAGCCCAACCCTGCCTGCTCTCCCTACAGCAATCTGCCCCCGGCTGTGTGTTTCCACCACCTCCCTGCAGGCTAGTGCCAGTGAAGCCCCACGGGGAGCTGGGCCAGGGAACTCACCTGTCTGAAAACTAACCTGGCAAAACAAACAGAAAGCGTTGGGCATGGCACAGGGTCTGAGTGCTACGCTGCTCTTCTGGATGGCAAAACTGATTTTTTCCTTATTGGAGTTGCTCTGTCCTGAGGAGTTGGATGTCATGCCATGGGCAGGAAGTGAGGGTTAAGACCATTTCAAGGCTCCTTAGTATTGTCTCTGAAGTCCTGTGTTGTGAAACTGCCTCCTGTGCATCCTATTGCAGCTCCAAAATAGCTTTGCGAAGAGTGCAAATACCCTTCATAAAGGTGCCTGTGCTCTTTGAACAGCTGAGGAAGTAATAAAATCCAGGTCTTCCCCCTGCTAATCCATTTGAAGACAGCAGTCTTGAAGTTTAGGCTAGTTCAGCACTCCTAGCCTCAGCCCTCAAAATTAACATCTGGCTTTGGGATACTCCTGCTTTGCGCTTGGCTTGATGAGAAACACCCGAGTGGCGAGTGCCTCCTGGTTGTGGACGCTCCTCTGCAGGGAAGGGGAGAAGGTACTGTCCCAAAGCCTCCCAGCAAACTTTGCCTAGGAAGTTTTTATGAAAGGGTACTGTAACAGATTTTAGGGAAAATTTTGCTTTGAAAGTTCAGGAGCTTGGACAGACTCCGTTACTCCCTGAGGCAGCTCTCTGTGGCAATGAGCATTTCTTTGGGTCCTCTACACTGGCCTTTTTTTTTTTTTCTCTTTTAAACTTGTTTTACACAACCGCTTTCAAGGAGGTTTACCCTGGTATACTGAGCTACTGGATTTATTTGGATAACAAATGTTGAAATAAAGTGACCATCTTTACCTTTGAATGTGGAGGACACTGTTGAAAAGTTTATGATTTTATGGTAGTTGTTTCAAAATTGTTCTCAACTTTTAATACTGTATTACTTTTAATTCTTACAAACGTTCATAACCTATAACCTGTAACTGGCCAACAGTCTAGTTTTGGGATTTAGAGGAAACCGAAATGGAGACCTTACTAGGTTGTTTTGGGGGAACCCAGATTTTACCGATAATTATTCAGTTTCACTGATCTCAATAACCATTCATCACCCAATATATCATCTAGTAGCGAACATGACAGAACTGTATCAAGCAAACATATTAAGTAGAAGGTGCTTATTTTTATATATGTTCTTAGTCAAAAGCTTAGGACAAGTGTGTATCTTGTATACAGCTATTAAATTAATTTCTTAAGTAATTTACAATCTAGAGTTTCCAATAGTACAAAATCTAACAATATTTCATGAGACTGTAGACAGGGGTAATAGTATAACAGCTATAACAGTATAATACTCCATTTACTACTTCTAAGGTGTTTGCATTTTTTTTTCAGTAGACTGTTCTTAACTGAGTAATAAACTTGACAGTCTTGGCATTAATTAGAAGGTCATAAAGTCTAGGAATGTTAAACTAGCCTGCACAAAATTGCTTCCCTTGGCTGCTGTATACAAGTTTGTGCTCACCTTGAATTTCTGGGTGCCTGGAGACAATAGACAGCCAGCTGGCACTGAGATTCGATGAAAAATGCACACTATTTCCTTTGGCTCCTTTGAACATCTTGTAGCTTCTATCGTTATTCTGCTGCCGCTGCTGCTGTTCTGCCAACTGGAAAGTAGCATCTAGGTGGTTGGGAAGAAAATTTTATGTGAGAGGATCTTGTTTTTAGGAAAAGATTGCCTTCCTGTTTGAGAAGTGGATGAATCGATATTATTCAGTTTCCATCCTTGTGTTCTGCGAAAATTAATGGGAGTATTATGAGACTATCTGGGGGGAGGTGATATTTCTACAGGTACTAACTTGCCAACTATTTGAGAAAATTTTGTTCTTTTCACTTTCATGTAAGCAACATTGACTTAAACATAACTATTACATTAAACTGATCCAATGAGATTTAGTTTGTGTACAGCAGTTTCTATTATATCAATAACATTTTCTATGACCAAGTCTACCCCCATTGTACAGAATGTTTATTCTAAATATTGACAAAGGATTTAATTCTTTCCTGAGCCTGAATTCCATTTCCACAGTGGTCTTGCATCACTCTCAAATTAGGTGTATCAGGTTAGCAGAGATACCAGCTCTTCAGGTCTTCGCGCAGCCTCTGTGTGAATTGCAGTTGGCTTGAGTCCGGAGCAAGCACTGGCTCACCACGTAGGGGAATTTGGGCACAAGGAGGATTCAGGCAGTGGGAGGACAGCCAGCATGAATCCTGTGGTGCAGCAAACACAAGTCCACATTCAGAAATGACTATAGGGATCTCTGAAAAGGAGCAAGAGAGGAACTGCCGTGACGACTTCACTGACTCTAGTTTACTTCTTCTTAATATGACTGCTGAGGTTGGCTGGAGGACCAGCTCCCATGCTGGCTAATGCCAGGAGAAACACAAAGGAAGACTTGTTTGAAGTCATAAGCTGGCGCTTGTACACCACATACTTTTCAAAAGGGAAATGCCAGTGTTTCATTCTTAACTTGCCAAGAGCAATAGGTGTGATGGCTACTGGCTGGTGCCTTTGCTTGTCATAAAGATTTCTGTAGCCTGTGAGAGATCTCTGCTTTTACTTGCTCATTTGCTAGTTACACATGAAGTGTCTTTTATAAGAATTGCGCAGCAGTTGAGTGGATATTCTGCCTGCACTAGCAAAGGTCTCTCTTCTGGTTCCCTGTAGTTTGGAGTACACCTCCATGTGGGACGGCCCCAGATCTTCTGTAGTAACCTGGATTTCCAGTGCAGATGGCCCACAGGACTTACAGCAGTTACGAACTGGAAGAGCTGCTGTAGGTCTCGGTGTCCAGCAGCTCAGTAACCAGAGCTGGCGACTGAGTTCGGATTTCACTCTGTTTCTGTTAACAGCTGATGGGGCTTGAGTAATATGTGACTGACTCTTATTTGCAGTGCCATATCCGAAATACCTGTCAGTATTCCCTGCAGAAGACCTGATTACACAGCATGTCTCCATAGCTCTGTCATTGCCCGTTGGTTTTGATGTGAATAGAAAATGATCAGTGTGACCGAGATCCGGTTGATGCTTAAAGAGGCTCTAGTTAAAGTTGCATTCTGCTCTTCTCTATATAACACAGTGGGTTTCATACTCATTATAAAGAGTTGCAAGGGTATGTTTACAAAGGAAGAAGTGAGACTAAATGATCATGAGCTTAATCAAGTTATAATTATCTTTCTTAAACCCATGGTAATTAGTTGCTTTTGGCTTTACTCTTCAGCCACACCTGTATCTTGTTTCTTATCTTCTAGCTCCCCTAATCAAGTTCTCACTGGTTTACCTTGTTGTTAATAATATTAATAATACTAGTTTTGGTCCTGACTGTGTGAAATATTAATGTTTATCTCTGACTATTTTTCTAATATGATCCTGATTAGAATACTTGATTTGCAAAATACGTTCTTTAAATCATAAGGTTTTATGACTTTAATTAAGAAAATTAGGAGATTACAGGTGAGATTTAAAGACTACCCAGGAAGACATAACTGAAAGAATAACTGCTGTTTTATCCTTTTAATACTTTTCAAGGTGTAAGACTGGGCAGATGAAAAGGAGCAGTGGGAAGAGAGTAGGATGTTAGCTGAAGGATGAGGAGTGTAAAGTAGCAGTGCATGCTGTTCTCAGGTATTTATGGGAAACTTTTTGTCTCTGTAGATACCATGTAGTGACAAACATTTTGCTGAAACATTCCTAAGTACATAACGGCCACTCTGCCAAAAATGCCATCCTACCTCAACTAATATTGTTATTGTAATACATGCCTAATTATGGAGATCTATTAAGAACAGTGTCCTTTTGGTTTTTACTAGTATGGTGTAAGCAGTACCTTGCCCCCCATTTCTAAAAGAAAACTGTGCTATCATGGTATCTTCACATCAATTAAATGTCTGTAAACAAAGGGGTTCTTGTTTGTCTGTCCATTGCCTCAAAAAGAGTCAAACTGTTGGCTGCCTGCCTTTGTTGTTTTCTGAATGTGAACATGTTCTATGAAGATTCTTAGAAATAGTAGACTAAGGATAGGAGCAGCACAAGCTCAGGCTTTCACTCCCCACAGAAGAAAAAAATGTGCTCTCGGACATGAGGCAATGTTCTCATGGCCATGAAAAAGCGTATTTATATATTCAAATAAAATATTCTGTTAGGCAGAGTAGAGCTACGTGCAGGGGTTGCATCAGTCAAGTAGATATTTTTTCAAAGTATCTTTAGAAATTAGTTGAAAAATTGTTCCAAAACAACTGTATTTTATTTGAACATTGCAGTCTGGCATTTTATCTTTACATGTAGTTATGATCCTCACAAAGTATTTTAGAATAGGAATATGGATTTTTATTAATAACATTCTTATTAGCAGTAGGAGTAAGAATATTTTTAGATAGACTAAAATTTGATGCCTTAAACAATTTTTCCAGTTTAGGTGGAGAAAATGCTGTAGACTGATACGTGTACTTTGAAATTAAAGAGCTTTAAGAGTATATTTAAAAAAAAGAGAGATTTTTTTTTTATTCCTCATTAAATTTAGCCCTTATTTTGATATTGTCTTAGTTGTTGTTCTGCAATCACCCCATGTTAGCCTGACTTTCACTCCTAAGAATAACTGTCTGTAAATGAAATTTGGCTAATTTTCTGCTAATGACAATGTTTCTCTGGAAAGAATTGAAAGTCTTCCAAGGCATTTAGAGAGCCAAGGCCTCAAGCACATTGAATCCAATGCAGTAAGGATTTCTCCCCACTCAATCCCACCTTTTGTCTCCTTTTTTCTCGGAAGTTAATGTTTCCTGGACAGCAAGACACTTCTCTGATAGTTAAAATCTATATACAACCACCCCTCTTAAAACGCGTTGCATCTCATGCTAATCCTTTCTTCAACGTGTGGTCTCATGACCAAGAACACATTTAATTCAGATTTCCGATTTTTAAATGTTGCCAGTGCACTAGGAAGGCCTCTTGTGGTTGCTCTTCAGTCACCGTGTGCAAATGTTAAGTTTTGAAGCAAATCAACAGCCGGGGAGCTGTGAAACGTGCATCATAGTTTCAGAAGGAGAGAGACTGGTTTTCGCGTGGCTGATGTTGCTCAGGTTCCCATACAAGTTCGCTGTGGTGGGTTTAGCGCAGACTCGGCACGTCTCTAACCGGCCGGATTCTTGCACTGACATCAGAGACGTGCAGCGTTGTTGAGACTCGCACAAAAATGTTAGGGTGTGTTAGAAACGGAGTGCAACTGAATATGTGGCTCCAGACTCTTGATGTATCTGGAAAATCCGAACAAGAGGAGATGGAGATAGACTGACAGTGCTGTTCAGATGCTAAAAGTGCATTATATACCATAGCCCTGTTTGAACAAGAACCTGTCAGCCTGGAATCAATACCTGGGGTTTTTTGCTATCTTGTGTACATGAGACCAGTGCCGCTCACAGACACTGCTCAGCTTTCTTCCCCAGGACTGCTCCTGTAAATAGGGGCTGCAGAACTGTCTTTCAATGCATACCTTACAGCATAATCTTGAACTTTTGGATACTGATGACAAAGAGGTAGGGAAAAAACATTTTAAAGCAAAACCATAAAGACAAGCTTATATAGCTATACCACTCTCACTTTTTTTAATGCTAAACATTTAGATTGGCTGAAGAAGTTAAAATAGGTCATGTTATTCTTCCATTTAACTTTAGCAGTTCCTTTCCACACAGTAAGAGATACAAGCCAACAGTGTCAGAAGGAAATGGAGCCTTACACTTGGTTTCTAATCTTTGCTTAAGCATGAAATACGTGCAGATATATGCATATATATATATATATATATGAATGCTGTCTTCTACACAGTTCAAATAGTACTTTGCCAAATGTGACTGCAGTCCTACTTCTGTACAGGTATAATCTCACACAGAGTTTGTTTCTCTCCCACTGTAGCCTAAGTAATACATTATTTTCAGGAACTGTTAATCTCTTGCATATGCATTTTAAGATACTGAGCTGTATTTCATCAAGTTGCAGGTTACCTTGTTGTTCTCGGTCCCTAATTTTAGGACATTAAATACCCTAGGCAGCAAACTTACCAGTCTGCCGAAGAGCTGTGTGTTACTGGTGCTATATTTCTGCTTTAATGATTGTTTGCCCTGTCCCAGCAACATTATTCAGAGCCTTTCTGGGCTGATTTCTCTGTTGCTGTGTAGTATACAGCACTAAATAAATTCATCTTCTATACTCCAAAAGGCCGTGGGATAGAAGATTAAACTGGGATGTCATCATTGTATTAATTTCTCAGGGAGGAAATGGTGAACTTACTTGAATCAGACCGTCTGCTGTTGCTAAGATACTGGCATATGAACAAAACTTCATGGTTGAAAAAAAAAAAAGAGCTATCAGGTGAAAGAATCAGCCCTAGGCACTCGATCTCTTCCCACAGCAGAAAGCTGTCATCCATCAACACAGTCACCAGAGGGCTACATGCAGTCATAACAAGCACTTTAACATACTGGTGATGGAGCTCAGCGGAGGTGAATTTGTGCAGAAGGTGCTTAAAGCAAATGTCCATGTGTAAATTTGTCACACTACATCGCTTAAGCCAAAACTGGTTTATCTGGTGCTTCAGGGATATCTCTCTCTATGTATGTATGTATGTGTGTATGTATTACACAGACAATAATTGATGCTTCCATTCGTTGTGGATTTAGACTTGCTGCACAGGGCAGGCAAGAGATGCTGGAGCAAGTCAGAGTCCAAAGTTCTGACCGAAAAGCCTTTATCTTGTACCGTTCAGAATTCTCCATGATTCTTAATAATTAAAAACTTAGAGTTTTTAGGCTACAAACAGCACAGTTCATCAAAAAGATTCAATAATCTGTGAAGTGAGAAACCTTACTGAGCTGGCTCTTTGCCATACAAGCCAAGACAATAATGGATCTTGTTCAAGCAAACACATGATTAAATCTGATTGTGCACATTAAACATTTGATATTTACAACAGTTAGTACTAATGGGATCTGTTAGTGGAAATATCCTCTGAAGCATGTAGTAGGTGAGGTGGATTGAAAACAGTGAAAAGACGGATACGTTAACAATCCAGTACTGTGGTGAATGCTAAAACCCTTCACAAGCAGCAGAAGGATTAGCAAAAATAAAAGAATCACAGGCTGTGAATTAATGGGAATTCAGTAAAGACAGATGCTAAAATGACTGAAGAGGTAAACTGAATTGTTTGTTATCATAGTTCAATAAATTTACTTCTTTCCTCATGCAACACAACTAGCCCTCTGTTGTTAATGGTGTGCCTAAGAGCTCTATTTGATGGAAAATGGAATTGCTAGAGAAATCTAGTCACAGAAATAAATCTGTATTGAATAACTGGAGGTCAGACCAGAAAACAAACCTAAAGAAAAGGGGACCTGTGCCAACTATTTCATAAACTATTTGTAGTAACAGTACCATTAAACTTGTTTCAAACAGCAATGTGCAATGAGGACACTGTTCTGGGCTAGACAAAAATTAATATTACTTTCAGGAATGGGCTGAACTTCAAATACCCACAGAAGTTCAGTGTTTTTGAAAACTCCCTCTCGGGTAAGTGGAACAGATTAGTTTATACATTGGAGTGGTTCTGTACTAATGATTGCTGGAACATCCCAGCCATTCACACGTGAGGGCAGGCTGATGCTATGCATGAACTCGTTCCTCAAGGTCTAATCCTTTCCTGTTCCCCTGGCCCTAAGGAACTGGATTCTGCCAGAGGGGCTACCAGAGAACTGCCTCTTGCGTAGAGAAACTCTGCTGGTGGAAGCAGAAACCTTCCCTTCATTTTTGCTGGTATGCCCATTAGCAGGTGCACACTTTGCAAGCCTTAGAGCGTGCACGGTATAGCTTTCAGCTGCAGAAATGAGTATTTTAAATAATGTATGTTAACAGCTGGTCATATTTGGACAGTTCTTTTTCTAGCGAGGGTGAGATGTTTGTTTCTGGTGGTTGTACCTACAAGGGGCAAACCACCTTCTGCTGCCTGCCTCTCCTGGATTCACCGAGCTGTTACAGATAGCTGCCACTTCACCGCTCCTCCCCTGTTTGCCTAAGTTACCTGAGTTGCTTTAGTGAGCCTGCACAACCACTTCTGTGGCTCAGTTATTCAGTTCTTCACCTGCCTTACAGTAGTGCATAATTTCAGTCTTACCTTATATGCTCCGAATCAAAGAAATATCTTCATGTGTGTATACAGATACATATATGTATATTATGAAATGATATGGCAGGAAAACCTTTTGGGGTTACAAGTCCAGAATGTCACGTGGCTGTTAACCAATACACTGAAAAATCATAGAGCTCTAAGCTGCAAAAGTGGACACCATGAGCTTAGAAATTGTATTATACGCTTTACTGAGCAAGTTCAAGTGTGGCTGGACATTGCTGGCTCTTTGAGAAAGTCTCCTCCTGCAGTGCAGCCCGAGTGCTCACCGTGCTCCTCTCTGTCAGGTGTGTTTCACGGGTCTGAAATCAGTCCCTGGAGTTTTGTGATCAAAACTGAGCTCTTTGCATCTCCCATCTGACTTAATCATGCATCACTTCCTGAGCCCTTACAGGACATCACTAATTTGTGAGTGGTATAGGGATGTTCGGACTGCATCTAGAATATTCATTTAGTG